TAGCTAGGCAGTCTTAGAAGGATCTCAAAAATAGAAGGGAGCCAGTGGAAGGTGAAAACATACCGAAGGAGGCTGGAAAATGGGTAGAAAACAAAGCGAGTGATGCAATCTAACATGACAGAAAAAGAATGTGTTGTAGTGATCTGCCATGGATGGGGACAGTCGAGAAAGGGAACTTTCACCCCCAGAGAAAACCAGGCACTGGATGCTTGGAACAGGGTCGGGAGGGAGGTCTGCACTGTCATATGCACAAGTGCTATGTATGTTTCCAAAAAGAAACAGGGGAAGCGTTTTTATGTGTAAACAGATAAGACTGCTGTATTGCTAGTTTCTTGTTAGTGCATGTGTTTTTTTTCCTGTGGTTTCATTATCATGGAATCTGTAGATGACTCAAATAACTTAAGGGCAGATTTCTGAAGATGTGTGAATGTTTATTTTGTGTTTGTAAGCATCCAGATCCCTTAACAAAGTTATCCCTCGGGCCATGCCATTACATTTCCTGCATTCTTCACAAACACTATCTTTGTTCTTGTAACTTAGCAGCTTTCCAAGATGCTGCATCTCTCATGTGTCAGACCTGAACATGTAATGGCAAGCGAGGCGCTCCTTCAATCTGCAGACATCTCTTTGGTTACCTCCTCCTGAGGGAGGCCATGTCACCGGATGGACTTACCCGGCCACCTCTGTGCTTCACTGCCAAAATGGCGGCTACTGAGTGGAGAGAGAGACCTCGCACTCAGAAGGCAGGGCCTTTGGGGTGCCCATGCTGAGCTCGGCGCTCACTCTGCCTCACCTGAGAGTTTGTGCTGCAGCAGGAAGGAGCAGAGCCGAGCTGTGCTGGCTGACTGGACGTGCCAGTGAGAGCATGAAAGCCGCTGGCAAAAACAGCATTGTTGATGTTTATGCAGTGTTGGCCAGGCCTGAATCCTTGCAGCACGCTACACAAAAAAGCAGCAGAGAGGGAGAGGGAGCAAACTGCGGTGGCACTCCAGCATTAACCCTTCTTTTTTTCAGCCGATCACATGGCACAAGGGCCTCTCTGCCCCTCTCCTGCTGCTTACAGGATGGCTGCATGCTGTCAGCCATTCCTGTCCGCTCTACTGAACCAGCCATGATGGCGGCTGCTCCTCACAGGCAAGAAGAGTAAAGGAAACGGAGCCTGACTGAAGCAATTAGATACAAAATTGGCAACTTCATCACGTGTTACTTTGATGATTACATTTGATTGCTGTTTACTTTTTTACCTGAGAGCCGGCTGCTGAAACACCAGATGGTTATAGTCAGAGTGGGATTTGGAGAGGGCTGTGCAAGCTGTTGTAATACAAGGCAAGCCCAGCTTTCCATCAGCAAGAGAGGCATCTTGACCTTTGGTATTTTTTTAGAAATAGACTTTTTTTCTTCTACTTCTTTTTCTTTTTTTTAATTATTAAAATTGGCCCACTAATTTGAAGAGGTGCAGTTATTTTTGGAGTGTTCCATAAAATTTGGGAAGGGCCTGAAACGATCTGTTTCCTCTCCCATAGGCACAGATACCCGAGCAACAGCTCGGAAGTGGCTAGCCTGTGGGCAGCTCTTCAGGCTTTTGAGGGAGATCAAATAGACTTCTGAAGTAATAGATGTGCAGTTGTGCATCAAAGCTTAATAAATGGAGAGATGGTCATGTGAGCACGGGAGGCCCATGTCCCACTTTACGGTGCTACAAGGTCTGCTGTGCAAACCCAGCATGTACAGAAGACAGCTGAAGAACCAGGGGACTTGAAGAGGGAAAGGTTGAGTGCTTCTACCCTCTTTTTATAAGATTTACACATTCTCCTTTCCAAGTGTTTCTTTGCTATAGCTGGACCTGGAGAGGGGGGATTGCCTGGGGATGCTCAGTCCTAGAGCTGAGGCTTGAGGTAAGCATCCAGAACTGCTAAACTCATATAAAATGGACAGGAATTGGTATAATTTGGAAAAAACTTTTCTGTCAGTCTTTGTGACTGACTTGAGCTGTGCCAGTGACATCATCCTCAAGATCTTACATTGTTTCATTAGGCAAAATTATGTTATTCAATGGAGTAGTGTTATTTAATGCGTTATTTAATTTTGGGTGGTCCTGCATGGAGCCAAGAGTTGGACTCTGTGATTCTAATGGGTCCCTTCCAACTTGGGATATTCTGTAGTCCTATGATGCTATGAGTCATTGGGAAAACGTTTAATACTGTTAAATCTGGAAGGACTCATTACTTTGGTAATCAAGTTTTGTCCCCTGACATAAGTTTCCTCTGTGTACTTGTGCAACATTACTACTGCTGAGGCTTTCTTCAGCCACTGCCCCTTGGCTCTCTTCCCTTAGCCCCCTCAGATGTCACCATTGCCAGTAATAGTAAAATCAATGAAAAAATGTGATTCTGTTGATTAACAAGAAGGTTTGCAAGAGATCTTGATCATGAACGCATAATGTGGGCCACAGATAGCAGTGGAGAGCTGGAGAGGTTTTGTTTCTCATATGGAAAGACTGATGAGTCTCAAGACTAAGTTGGTATTCGTGCCCAGAAAATGTAGCACAGGTGTTGTATGCATTGCTTTTATATAAAGTATTAACACTTAAAATTTGATTTTTTTAGCATTTTGAAAAGCATACTGTCTGACAGGAGTCAAGTTTGATATTTTTTGGAAGAGGTATGTTTTGTATCAGCAACAAGTAGACAAAAGCTTTCAGCAACTTGTTTCATTTGTCACAAGTGAGCATTTGATGCTACTGCTTCCTCCATATTAGGTAAAAGCTTTTATAAAACACTCATAAATGTTCATGAATTCTATAGTTACTACTGAATCATAATGAATGTCTAAGCAAACTTGCAGATATTTAGCAATCTTTTATACTGTGCACGTCTTCTTTACTCCAACCTAACCCTTCAAAATAGGAGAATTATTCATTCTTTGTATTAGGGATCACTTGGTCCCAAGAAGGGACTTGATGAGGGGGAAAAAAAAGATGTGCTAGCAATGTGCCCATGGGACAGAAAAGGCCACCAGAATGCTGGACTGCATTAGGCAGTGCATTGCCAGCAGATTGAGGGAAGTGATCCTGCCCCTCTGCTCAGCACTGATGGGGATGCACCTGGATTATGGGCCTGGTTCTGGGCTTCTCAGTACAAGAGAGACAAGGACTTACTGGCATCAATCCAGTAAGATGATAAAAGGATTGAAGCATCTCTCTATGAGAGAGTTGGGACTGTTCCACTTGGAGCAGGCGTGGTCCAGAGGCAACTTATTGATGTGCCTAGCTTCCTGATTGGAGTGCAGAGGTGGGGAATAAAGAGTACAAAACCAAACTCTTTTCAGATGCATCCAGTGATAGGGCAAGAGGCAGTGGGTGCAGACTGAAAAACAAGAAATTCCATTTGAACATAATGATTGACATTTGACATTTGGACTAGATGATCTTTGGAAGTCTTTTCCAAACTTTGTGATTCTGTAAGAATAAGCTGCTTTTTTTTTTTTTTTTCTTTTTTTTTTCCTGTGCAAGTAACTGAGCACTGGCACAGGTTGCCCAGAGAGATTGCGGATTCCCTCATATTGGAAATCTTCAAACCCGAAATGGATGCAGTTCTGAGCAATTAACTTTTGCTGTCCTTGGACTGGACTAGCAATTTCCACAATCTCTTCCAACCTCAGTTATTTTGCATTTTGGTAGTGTCTGGGATGCAGCAAACGAGGAGCCTGTTGCATAGTTATTAGGACACTGATCTGCACTTTGAGCAGCATGGAGTTGAGCAGGCTTCCTATTTCCACTGCAGAACCAATCAGCTATTAGATGATGACTTGTATTCATTAATGACATTAAATGGATTTTTAACATGGAAACGAGAAGAGGAAAGCAGGGTAACTCATTATTAGCTATGGGTTTGCCTGAAGCAAATTTCCCGTGTTAAAACACTTAAAAGCAAGTACAGAATTTATGGTGTGTCATTAGATTTTAAACCTAAATAAGTCCAGTTGTTGTATGGCTAATAATGCAAATTATAAGTCAGCTTCAGTGTAAAGCAGTAAATATGTACTGTCCACTTAAACATGCTTTACCCCTCCTCCCTCTTTTCCATTAATATTTTATACCCCTGAAGAGATGTTCTCAACATATTATGTACACTAGCATACTGTTCTCATGGTATTCCTGGATTTCATTACAAAGAAGCCTGAAGAGTGTACCACTGCTCTGCTGCTTGTGATGCTAGCTTGGAAATTGCTTGGAGCAACAACAGCAAGTGTCAACAGGGAGCCATATTAATTATTTGGAATGTGCCTCATAAGAGGAATCAACTGCTTTTATTGCAGCACGAATATTACTTGAAACAGGAAGGTTACTCTAGCTGTTATCGTAATCTATGTGTCATTAACTTTCCGTGTTTAGAAAAAGAGATTAACAACCCTGTAAATTGTTACAGTAAATAGATGAATTATAACAACATGTTTTTTATTATAAATAAAAGTTTCTTGATATAGTTGCTTCCAAATTACTGGAGAAGAATTGAGTCTCTACCTACTGGGAAGCTGCATGGCAGTGTTGAGAACAGAAAAGCTTCCATTCAGGTGAAAGCAACGCTAAGCTCCGCAAAGCAGTATCTGTATCTTCTGCAGATGGGACAAACAGATGCAGTTGTACTTCATACCATACTTCCTTCAGAAATTTTTGTGACACAGAACTGCTAGTTTGCCTCTTAGAGTGAAATTAACACATTGAATGGGTTTCTGTGAAACTGGTTGACTTCTGTGGCATATGGCCCCTTAAGAGAACATTGTGCAAAATGTACATGGTAAAACAGGTATAAGTTCTGAGTAGATGCCTCTACAAAATGGAAGTTCATCTTCCTTTTGAACATTAGTGTATGTGAAAAATGTGCTTTAGAAAAAATACAAACCTGTTCTGAGTCCTGGGCCACAAAAATGTTGTATGTTCCATTATACCCTAATAGATTTCTGTAGAAAACAGCACAACTAAAACACTTATTTGTCCACAGGGCAGGCTCACCATGGGCAGGTTTCCTATATTGCCCCACCAATCCACCTCGATTCGGATCTGGAGCGACCACCATCTAAGGGTGAGTCAGAGGTGCAGTCTCCATGCATGTGCATTGTGAAAGGGCCAAATACATGAGTGTATGTCATTCATTTGTTCATTGAGTAGCTGCAGTTAGCATGCTTCATGCAAGTGCTCAGGAGCAAATAATTTCCTATGGAAGTATTGTATGAGAGAGAACTGTGTCCCATGTGCCATATTATGTAGCTTTGAGTACACCATTTTGTTCACAAGTCACATTGCTTTCTCCACTAGCTCACTTCTGGGATATGTTAACTTCAGCTCTTACCCTCCGCATGCTGCATTTCCTTTCTAATTGTAGTGCACAGGCAAAGGGGACTTGTAGCAGTATACAAAAGAGCATGTTTCAGCTGCCTTCAGGTGAGTGAAGGTATATAGGTATTTTGCAGCAGTTCAGTCCTGGATTCCATCCATGTTACCATTATCAAGGATTTTTTCAAAATTGGTAGAGAGACATGGTAACTCTAGAGGATGACTTCAGTTTTAGGCTACCTAATTAGTAGCTAATATGTGTGGACTGAACCCAGAGTAGCTCTGCTAAGATATGTGCCTCTGTTGAATTGTGAAAATAAGGTGATATGAAAGTGAGCCTTTGATTTCTCAGCCTGATTTAGGGGATCTTCACCTAGCTGCATTGTGATGAATCCTCACTGGAGGATTCCCCGTGGCCTGTGGAAATGGCCTCAGACCCAGAGTATGCATTCACTGCTACAAATCAAGCAGCATATGAAGAGATTTCTTGATCGGCTTCAGGAATGTGTAGGAACAACAAACACAAGGAGTGTTATGGAAGAAAGGAATGGGAGGAAATATGGCAGCCAGTGTGCTAGCAGGTAGATAACACTATAGATTAGGGTTTTTTGTTTTGTTTTGTTTTGTTTTGTTCCCTTCTCCTGCCCTTCAAAACATGTTGCAGTGGCAGAAAAGGTATGGGCTTGTCCTTTGTAGTGATTTTGCTGTTCTGCCTAAGTACTGTAAGGCTGAGAGCACGTTTGTGCGGGTATATGTTTCTCTAAAATATGTGCTTGAAAAATATGTTAATGAAAGATTAATCTGGATAGATTCACTGTCATTACATTATATGAAAAAATCTGTCCTCTGAATTTCACTTCTTTGTGCATTTCTAATATTCTCAGAGACAGAACAACCTTTGTGTCAGTGAATTGCAGCTGCAACTGCAAACATATTCCTACACCTCCAATAGCCGAAGGACTTTGTAGTCTAAATGAAAGCATACCATTAATGCACTTGGTATGAAAGGCTGTCTTAAGTTCAAGTGAGCTTTTCCATCACCATCCATGCTCTTGAGCCGTAATTCGATCAAGTAAATGTTTGTTTCCCTTTGTAAGTGTGAATGTGTTTTCTCAGCTGATGAAGTAATGAAAATGAAGGAATTGACTCTTGCTATACAAAACCAGCCTCAGCACAATTATTCATTGCTAGCTCCTCTTGCATCTCTATGAGATAGAACTATGTTCTGGAGAGCAGATGATGCTGGATTCATGGTGCTGTCTCCAAAGTTAGTCTTGTTGTGAGTCAGATCGATCACATACAGTCTCCTGGCAGTCTACAGCTTCCATTCATTTTTGGGTGAGGTACACCCAAAGATGAGATTTGACACATATGAAATTGTCAACTTATTCTAAGCTACATGAAAACCTCAAGGTTTATAATAAAACTTGCCAGCCAAAAGCAGATTTTTTAGCAAAGCACTCCAATAAAGCAGAAACAGACAGGAATTTCAGGACCTTCTCACTCAAATCCTACTTTGATGTTGAGTGTAATGATTCAGAACTTAATTAGAATAGGTCAGTGTACATCTTTGTCATGGAGTCTGAAGCAGTCTATATGGAATGAAACAGCAAGGAGAATGAAACAACAGCAAAGATGATGCTGTGCCTTACTTTCTCCAAGGTAAAAGAGCTAAGGATTATCAAAAACCTTCAGTAATCTGCCATTTGGGAGGGCATAGCTACCTCTGCAAGATGAATGCCACTGCCAACAGGAGCAGGGCAACGTCTATCACACAGAACAGTTGCAGCACTTGCAGAGAAGGTAAAATAGAGTTTGTTCAACATAAACTGCTGCATTAACTGCTTCCACTGGGCCATCCACCCCCCAGCTGAGACATTTTAAAGAAAGGACTGCTTAGTGTGGAAGGAATTATGTTGCTGGTGCCACATGCTGGTAGAAGGACTTGAATCCCTTTTGTAATTTAATGGGAGAGAACCAGGGAGGCAGCCAATCCAGTAGCTGGTGTCTGGGGGGGGTGTTAAAAATATGGTAATTGGTACTGTCTCCTGAGGAAGAGCAAGGCTTTCCTTTGGCCCTGGGACATGTACATCTAGCTATGCATATGCTGCCTCATTTCCAGCCTCAGTGCCCAAAATCCATTAGGACATTCTAAAAATCCTGGTGTGATTTTTTGTTTGTTTGTTTTTTTCTAAGCATGTAGCAGTTATAAAGTGGCTCTTTTTTGGGCTACGTTTTCTGAGACTACGGGACACACTCAGATTATGTTTCAAGCTTTATCCCGTTGCCACAAGGTGTATTTAAAAAAAAAAGGAGGACAAAACAACCTTTATCATGAAGCAATTGTTGATTCTCCACAATTTCAATAACTGGGACTTTAAATATAGAGTACCAGTTTACAACAGTGAACATAAACCACTAAATGCTTTAGTTGCTTTGATGCCCTTCATTTCCCTTCCATGTTCTCCCTAGCACTGAGCTGAACATCAGTTACTGGTTAGTGTTGCACTTAAAGTGACAAAAAGAACATAGGTGATAGCCACCTTACAGTTTTAATTGTAATAAATGAAAATTGAGCCAGGTTAAGGATATAAAAACATCTTTCCTTCCTGTATTAAAAACTGTACAGATTTAGTGCTGTTGTAGGTCTATGCAGTTGCAATTGTCAGCTGGCAGATTTATCGGTAACTGCTTCTTCCTTCTCCTTTTTAAAAATTTTATCGCTGGTGACATTTACCCACATTGTTTATGCATGCAGTGCATTTTTACCTGCCTTTCAGAGTCCTGATGCTCGTGCTGAATAGAGTATAAACTCCAGTAGTTTACTAGTACATTAGTGTCATCATACATTACAGGGTAATTACTCTGAGCCACTGCTCTGTATAGTAATGCAGTAATGACACCGTAAATCACTTAATAGAAATAAGGTGCTGTATCAGCATTTGAAACAAGACGCTGATTTTTACCCACCCCCTTTTTAATTTGAGAGTATTTTCAAATTAGTTCCATATATGAAGCATTGTTAACCATTATTTTTATACTTCCTCTCCGTCTGATGATTCAGGTGCATTACTTATACTCACCTGTTTACACTGTCCATATGCAGAATGATTCCAGGGATAGATAAGTTCTTGGACCAATGAATATAAGTAAAATGCCCTGGGGTTGCCAAAGCAGTCACAAAGTTGTGTCTTCATCATGCATGGTCCCGATGATGATGCAAGCTAGGACTGGTGGCTAGATTTTGAAATCATAGAATCATCTTCGTAGGCCTCCTTTGGATGATCCCTAATAGTTTTTTTTGTTCTTCTTGTATCATGGCACCCAAAACTGCACCCAGTGCTGGAGGTGAGGCTGCACAGTGCAGAGCAGAGTGAAACAACCCCTACCCTCACTCGGTGGCAGTGCTGGGTCTGGAGCACCCCAGGGTATGGTTAGTCATTTGTCTACAGGATACACTGCTGTCTCAGATCCAACTTATCATCAACAAGAATGCCCAAATCCCTTTTCTGGAGGGCTGTTCTCCAATCTCTTAAGCCTCCCATTTTGAGGCTAGTGTATAAAGAGAATCTACTTACCTTGGTGAGCTCTGTTCCCTGTCTTCCATGGGTAGCCAACAGTGTTCCAAGAACCTTTCTTTCACTTGGGCAGTCCTGTTTTACTGAGCTGTAGCTGTCAATCATTGTACTATGGCACCAAACCCTTTCTTGTAGTCATACTTGTGATCTCATAGGCTGAGAATTAAACCTATGTTTAAAAATGGATCATTGGTTACTGATAATAGCAAGGAATTTCACAGATAAGGGTGATTCTGATACACTGCCTTAGAAAGAAATTCGATGGAATTATCATATATAGCAATAAATTAAATTTAACATTTGGACTGAGTTTCCACCAGGTACTAAACTACAGTAGATAGAGTGAATTAAACTTACTGAATCCACACACTAAAACTATTTATAAAGCTTTATTGAAGCAGATTTGGGTGCATATGTGGAGTCATATTAAACATGAAATATATGTCTGGCTTTTAGAACTAGGCAGTCCAAGAAGCTCTCCTCCCCCATTGAGTTAGCATTTTGCAAAGGTTTCCTTCAAAATCAAAGCTCAAGGGGAGTAGTTGTCTTGGAGATTAATACACTTAAAGTCAGTGTGTTTCCAAAACAAGAAATTATTAGCAACACCATTTATTGCTCCCCAGCTCTGCTAATATATAGCAAATAAAGGAGAGATGGGAGGTTTCTCACCCTTCCATGTGTATTTCTCAAGCAAGCAGGTTGTTCTGGTCCCAGCTCAGGTATCGGACTGTTTTCCTGTAAATCTCAGTTACATGGTTCAGCTTCCTTAGGCACAGAATCTCTTTTATAGGAAATCCTGTTGGATTTGCTATCAGGGAGACAAGCAGAGGTCTTGCTGTTTTTCTTCCTTTCTCTCCAGCTCAGCGGTGTGCCCCTTTATGCATCTTTCCCTCAAAAGCTGGGCCCACTTTATCATTTTTCTTCCTCTTTACATTTGCAAAGTCTGAGGAATAGTCAACCGCTCCTGAGCATCAGAAGCACTGCAAAATCTTATTACCAAAAATAGATCAGGTTTGGGGATGCACACATTCTGGGCCTTTTTTTTCCTCCTCCCAGAGGTCCCTCAAAAGGTCGCTGGTTTTGCAGATGATGTGGGAGGATGTGACAGCCGGTTACCAGCAGGGCTGGTTGCAGAGCCCAGCACTTCTTCCTTCCCAGACCCAGAAAGGGG